AGTTGACAGTACACCCGTCCACTCTGCCCCCAGGCCCTTGTTACTGCATCTGTATTAACAAGTCCATTATCACAGATGAGGTCGCGCTGTCAGCATGGAGGGGAAGGTCCCTGACCAGTGGAATTGTAAGAAACATTTGGTAATGCTTATTTCGTTGTGGTGTGGTCAAACGCTTGATATTATGTGTTTACGACGTTCAACCCCCCCAAACTTCCCCCCTCCCCATACTTCCCCTCCCCATACTCCCCCTCCCCATTCTCCCCCTCCCCATACTCCCCCTTCCCATACTCCCCCTCCCCATACTACTCCCCCCTCCCCATACTCCCCCTCCCCAAACTCCCCCTCCCCAAACACCCCTCCCCATTCTCCCCCTCCCCACTTCTCTCCCCCTCCCCATACTCCCCCTCCCCATACTCCCCCTCCCCAAACTCCCCCTCCCCATACTCCCCCTCCCCATACTCCCCCTCCCCAAACTCCCCCTCCCCAAACTCCCCCTCCCCAAACTCCCCCTCCCCAAACTCCCCCTCCCCAAACTCCCCCTCCCCAAACTCCCCCTCTCCAAACTCCTCCCCAAACTCCCCCTCCCCATACTCCCCCTCCCCATACTCCCCCCTCCCCATACTCCCCCTCCCCATACTCCCCCTCCCCATAATACGCCCCCTCCCCATACTCCCCCTCCCCATACTCCCCCTCCCCATACTCCTCCCCCTCCCCATACTCCCCCTCCCCATACTCCCCCTCCCCATACTCCCCCTCCCCATACTCCCCCTCCCCATACTCCCCCTCCCCATACTCCCCCTCCCCATACTCCCCCTTCCCAAACTCCCCTCCCCAAACTCCCCCTCCCCAAACTCCCCCTCCCCAAACTCCCCCTCCCCAAACTCCCCCTCCCCAAACTCCCCCTCCCCAAACTCCCCCTCCCCAAACTCCCCCTCCCCAAACTCCCCCTCCCCATACTCCCCCTCCCCAAACAACCCCCCTCCCCATACTCCCCCCATACTCCCCCTCCCCAAACAACCCCCTCCCCATACTCCCCCTCCCCATACTCCCCCCTCCCCATACTCCCCCTCCCCATACTCCCCCTCCCCATACTCCCCCTCCCCATACTCCCCCTCCCCATACTCCCCCGCCAAACTCCACCCCATCTCTCCTCCCCCCATCTCTCCTCCCCCCATCTCTCCTCCCCCCCAAC